GATAGAACTGTGCCTTTAACCCTTTTTTCTTCAGATTCCTCATGCCTTCTTTAAATTTTCCATTTGGGGGTATTGACTAGACCAAGAATAATTGGATACAAAAGAGTGATAGATTGTACATAAAATAAATAGTAAAAAATGGGAAAAAATGGTTTTGTTTTTATGCCAAACAATACGTTAATTCATGCAAATTATATGCTAATTTTTATGCAAATTAGTCGTGACTTTATGGGAAATTTCTGGGGAGAACACTGAAGATAGTTAAATTGTTTACTGTGTTTAGCTCTTTTTCATTGTAGAAGAATATATAATTTATTTAGTAGTCTATTTTATTATTATTTTTCTGTGTTAGCTGTTAACTACGATTTTGAGGCATACAATGTTAATTAATCTAGATAGTTTTGTAGTCTATTTTTCGATTTTGACAAAATTACAATTTCATCAGTCTAATGTAAACTGTTAATATGCAAATTATTAATTGAGTCAGGTTCACAATCTCTGGAGTTATATATGTCTGGCAAACGAGTGTGAAGACGGCGATTTGCGTTTGATTCGTATACTGAAATACCTATAATTCACTCAAATGCTGATGTAGCAATTTCAGCTAATTTAACAATATTTTTTTGAGCAAGAAAGTTAGAGATCAATTTAGTATTTTCTGTGGAAATCAAGGTTATAAATACTTTCATAGTGCGCATGACAGTTTTTCGACGCGTCTACGAATGCGCAGGAGATCAAAGGACAATGATTATTTTTGAATTGAGTGGTGATAATTTGTGACTATACAATTTAGTTTTTACAAAAGATTCATTTTCATTAAACATATTTATGCGTTTCTCGTCTGTTTCTAAGGCTATTTATACTTGTTTGGGCCCATGTGACATCCGATGTGAGCGAGACTGTAGGACTATTTATAACCATGATTTTCTTCAAAAGGAATAGGTTGATCCCTATTTTTTCTACACAAAATATGCTATATATAAACTTTTGTAGAAAATATAGATATTTCAATTTGTACGTAAATCAAACGCGAAACGTACTTCAATCGAACAATCATACTCTTGTCTGACAAGTCATTTATAACAAGGTTGAACAAAGTAGGGCTCAGGGGCTTAGTCTTTTCTACGAAATGAAACAAAACGAAATAAAACTATATCAAATTTTTTAACAACATCGAAAATCGCCACTACATAGAAATAAATTTCTCGAGAATATTTAGTTTGCAGCTCAATAAATACCAGTAACTAACATGACAGCTCAATAAATAAATACGAGTAACTATAACATGGCATGACTGCCATTTCGATTGACAAAACATGGAACGACCCAAAACGAGACAAACAAACCAAAACAAGCCAAACTACCCCAAAACGAGCCAGATAACTCCAAAATGAGCCAAATGGCCCCAAAACTACCCAAACAAGTCACAAACGAACCAAAATTAGGAGCAAAATAAAAAGGGTGAGCGATCAGCCATTTTTGAAAGGATACTTTGAACTGGCAGTTGGGGGCACTACCGGTATCCCCAAACGACACAATAAATTAATAAAAATCTTTTGATAATATGAGCAAGTAAATACTAAATAATTATAACACAATACACAAACTAATGCATAATAATTTTAAGTAATAAATAATTTTTAACAAAATAAACACTATACTAGATAATTATTAAGAATTAACCAGTAAATTAACTAATTAAATAAAAGAAACTGTCTATTAAGAATAAAAATACTGTAAAATTATATTAAAATTAAAAGGCATTATTTACTATGTTGCTCGGTATCGCCCGGCCTGTATCTTAAAGATGGAGGGATAATACAATGCGTTTTTCACAAAAGACAGTCTCACGCGTTGTAAAATTGTGTTGTAACTTGTGATAAAAGCGACCAGTAAATTTGGCTGGGGTGAATTTATATAAGCAACGAAATTTGCGGGGATTGTTGTACTTAGATCGAAAAACTGACTCGCCCATTTAATTGTCTTAATCACTGTGGATGACACTATAAAAAAATATAGCGTTGAACATTAGAAATTTTGGAAGACAATTACTTTGTTCTTAAGTTTTGAGCTGGATTTTTTCACGATGGAGCAGCTGTAATATTGTCTCTGCTCTATTATAGGAGTAAGTTATTTTTTTAAACGTTTGTTTTATGAAATTTTCTCTGTATATTTTTTGACAAAATGTACTCACGATTCTTTTTTATGAAAATCCCTGATAGTATAAATATCACTGTGCACATCGTTAAACATCTAAACGCTCAAAAGGATAAAGGGTGTTACGTGAAACGTTATGTCGATTATTTCTGCCTCATACCTGGTGGCCACCACTTGTCGCGCTTTCTACTGGTTAGTTAAATGTGTCCATGCAACAAAATTATTTTAACACTATTTTTATATGTCACATGAACAAATAGATATAACCCAGAACACTCAATAGATAAAATGTGTTTAAATATTATCGATCCGTCATCCTCGATCATTATGAGATGACCGCGAATGGTTAAGTGTTACATTAGCCCGCAATCATCCATCCATGCAACATGATACATTGAGTGATATGATGCCAAGTATGCCAACTGATTTCAACTCAATACGATACACAAACTATTTACCACATTATGTCTGCAGACTCCATACTCAATTAAAACGGTATATATATATTATTAGTTTGTGCAACTATATGAAGCAGTTGGCTTACGAGTCTGCTAAAAGGTGAGAAGATGTGTTAAAATGTGTGTTACTCTCACATCAAGTATCGCTGTTGTCTCGCTATTGTTTGGGAGGGAAAGTTACTTTCATGTTGCTCAAACCATGGAGGTATAAACTTATACTTCTATGCTCAAACTGTTAGGGCGAGGCCATGGTGTTATGGCTGTCATAATACGTCACATGACACATAGAACAGTTTTACTACCACAGGCTACAAAACTCCAGTGGTGAATAATTTAATTTCCATTGATTAATTTCCACGTTGTAGTGAATTATATAGGTCAAATGTCACAGTGATCATTTCATTCAAGCAGCAAAACTACGACGAACTAGCCACTACCGGTAAGTCCGCAAGACATAACAGGTGATCGAAGTAAAGAAAATAACGATAAAACAACGATTGTTCGGATCACAAGGTATTCTGGTATTTAACATAACAACATTACTTGAGGGTGCGACTGACTGACGTGTGGCATGACGTGAATTTCATATCTGATGTGTACTCCGTTTTGATTCCTAAGATCTGGGGGAAAAGCAAATGGGTAATCGTACCTCGAAAATACTTTTTATACCCTATATCGCGTTTCCCTGAAAGTAAATTGTATGACGTATTCAGTGCGTTGCTTGAATTAAATCACTTTACAAATATTGTGATTTTTAAGCAACAAAAATTGCTTACTGCTAATTAATTCATTGAAATTACGCCACAAACCAAATACTAATAGTTTTTGGAAAACTTAGGTTAGCCATGGACCTATTTATTATTTGCTGATGTATTATAATTGTGTATTAGTGTCTTTATCATTTTATTATTTGCATACGTGCATATATTCTTTACGATTTTTGATTTATTTACTTGTGTTGACTTCTTCTGGGACATCGGCTAATTAGCGAGTGCCTCCAACTGCCAGTTCAAAGTATCCTTTCAAAAATGGCTGATCGCTCACCCTTTTTGATTTTGTGCCCAATTTTGGTTCGTTTGTGACTCATTTGGCTCGTTTTTGGTCCGTTTGGCTCATTTTTTGGATAGTTTTAAGTTATTTGGCTCGTTTTGGGGTAGTTTGGGTCGTTTGTCTAGTTTTGGGTCGTTCCATGTTTTGTCAATCGAAATGGCGGTCATGGCCATGTTATAGCATGGACGTACTAAAGTTACTTGTATTTATTTATTGAGCTGTCATGCTAGTTACTGGTATTTATTGAGCTGAAAACTAAATTTATTTCTATGTCGTGGCGATTTTCGATGTCGTTAAAAAATTTATTTCGTTTCGTTTCATTTCGTTTCGTGGAAAAAACTAAGCCGGGCTCAGGTTCTATCCCTGTTTTACTCCAGTAGAGGAGTCAAAATATGCTGAGTGATGTAACTGGTATTTCCATCTATTTATTTATATCCCCACTATCCTAAAACGCTCAAGGGATTGTTGTCAAATTCGCGAGTGTGCTAATATATTTCGTACAGTGGCGTAAACATCGCTACAATCAAAGACGCGCTGAACAGGAAGTCTATTCTGGGCTAGTACCATTGTCATTTTTTGGAGAGTAGAGGGCCATTTACACAGGGGACGCTCCAGTAAGAAATTGCTAAAATTGCGCGATTGGCATATCAAAATCTTGTATTGAAACAGAACATATTCTGTATACACTAAAAAAAACATTGTTATGTTTATGACTATGTTTATGTTTATGGTTATGACTTACAACGAACTCGGAACAAAAGAAACAGTCCGATCCAAACAAATCGAGTCTTATCGCCCTTGCGTTTCCAAGCGAAAATACGTCGATGCCAAATACAACAGAATTTCACAAAATCTTCTATGATTTTTCGCTAATATCATTAATTCAGTGCAGCTGTTAGATGGGTTATTTATTAAAGACGCTCGGGGAACCCAAATTGACGATGTAAATCACTCCGGCGATGAAAAATCGGCGATAATAGCCAAGGGGGTGAGGGACTGAATTTCAAAAACACATTTTATATATAGGGTATATAACCAGTTAGTGTACATATATACCACTTGCGTCATTTCAATCCAACAACGTAATACCCACTAACAACGTAAAATGTTTGTAGTAAGTTTGCAAAAGAGTTTGTATATAATAACTAAGTAATATTTCTCGTGAGTGCACACCCCGGGATAAACACACTCGTATACCATGGAGCTCCATGGTCATACCAATGTGAAATTATGTTTTGGTCAGAATTATACCAGCTTTTTCATTGAAAATTGATATTCTTTGAATTGTCATTGAGTTTTAAGTGATTGAACATAGAAAAATATACTATCACTTACCCAAAGCGTTCAGTGTTGTCCTGGCGATAAGCTCATCACAGTTCAGGCAGAGCGAAAGTGACGTCTGATGGCGGTTCTTGCTCTCAAAAGCGTGAACACCCCTCTGGGTAAGAATTATCTTACTTAGATAACAAACAATACTTCTAATTTATTACGATTCTGGTACACATGATTTGTAGTAACGATTGTTCTCTAATAGTTGAAATTTATAGGCCACTATAATGGTTATTGTGTGAATATTTAGGCTAACTGTATGTTATTATACCAGTAGATGTAGTTTAGATGGAACAGCAAAGCAAGTAAAATGCTGTTTTGGTAGTTACCATGGAGTCAAAACAACCTTTTATTCAAGACAGCATGACGTGACAGTTTTGTTTATGTGTAGTCTTGTAACTATACAACGTTCACTCCCTATCCCAACTATCGGACACTACTGTAAAATATGAAATTACGTGTAAATAGCGACGGGCGTTATGACAAACACGGTATAAAACAAAAGCAAAAACATTCTGCTTTCGAAATAACACCGTATTTTTACTGAGTGTCTAACGGTGGGAGGTTGAGAGAACGATGTACCACAGGGAGCCCAAGAAGTATAAAACTATAATCAACTGTACGCAGTCTCTGTGAGCAGTTGATTATAGTTCCTGGGCTCCCTGTGGTAGTACTTCAAGACGAAAATATTAGTATAAATACATCGTCCATGCAGCTAACAAAAATTATATTTATTTCTCTTCAGTGTTAAGAGTCAGACTACATATTGATAATCTGTATAGATAGATAGGTAGATAGATAATTTATTTGACACAAAACTTTGTATCTACAATACATTGTCCATGGTCATGAAACTAAACTATTAACAAAACATTAAAAAACACAACAACAACAACAACAACAAGAAAAAAGTTTCAGAAATAATTCAAAATAGAATGAATAAACTTGGCAAGACTATTGGCAATGAAGCTATCTTTTGTTCCAAGCAATTGCTCAATACCTTGGCTTGAGAGCTCGCTATTAGTGGAGTCATAACAGACAATTTCTTTATTGAAAACAGCGCGAGCTTTTGAAATTTCACTGTTGTTAACAAAACATAACATGAACCAATAGCCTGCTTGTCACAAAGTGTACAAAGTCTTTCCTCTGGAGGTATTCCTTTATAACGCAGCCTTTCAATTGGTAATGAATGGACAGAAATTCTAAACTTAGTAAAGCTGACTCTGTGTTTTAAGTTTTTTACCTGCTCCAAGAATGGTTCAAATTCATACGTATTTTAAATTTATTGTAGGTCCGTAATTTATTATTTTCAGGTTTATTAATAGTTGGCAACCGGACTTTGTTTTGGTAAATCTGTTTTATAATAGTTTTGAATTCCTTTGAGTCATTTGAATCATCACTAATTTTAGTTATATATACGAGTAGTACCACTCGTAGTTTTGTCTACTGTGAATGCACAGTGCAGTAGGTGTTTCTTTTTCCAATTGATTTTATCCTTTCATAATAATCGAACATTTGGGTACATATGTCAATAACAATTGGGTACCTACCAAGTTCAGCTCTAGTAGCCAGGTTGCTTGCTTTTTAATTGACACCCAAAATTTGTTTGCAAAATCTGATGTGAAGTTGTTCAAAATTGGTCATATCATTGACAAGTTTTTCAATGAAATTTTCATTAGTAATTTCTGCTGATTGTTTTGATTTATGATTTATCTGTATATATTCATATACATCAGCCCATGGCCTGGGAAAATGTGTCTGTGTAACCTTGTTCAAGTACAGTTATTTTTAACCCAGATTATTAGCACTTGAGGGCATCATTTAACATCTGTCAAAATTAACCAAACGTTATTTAAATTTATCAATACTATTATGTAAACAATTTGGTGCCTTACGTGAGAAAGTCAGAGGTTATGCAGATCAGTAGGCAAGACTAGTGCGTATAAACTGCTTGAAACTTCAATAAACAAATATTACGAAAAAGCTTGTAGAATTTTATTTTATACCACCAAGATCTGAACTGTATTTCACCTTGACATTGAATGCACAAATAGATTGCTGGTTAGCATTATATTCACTACCATTTATAACAACAATTGACACAAAATTGAGAACTTTTCAGTTTAAGATTTTACACAATATACAACAAATGTATTATTGGCGAAAATCAAACCATGTCTTGTTGAATCTTCAAAGTGTTCCTTTTGTGGAGAACAGGATGAAACTTTGTTACATCTATTTTACAATTGTATTTTTATTAGGGAATTCTGGGATGGTTTTTACATGCTGTGGGAAAGGAAAATGGGATTGATAAATACACTTAATCCCATACAGGTTATCCTTGGAGATGAAGATTTTTCCATTCTCTTATTATTTGCAGCCAGATATTACATATACAGTGCAAGGTGTAAACAACAGAAGCCGGATTTAATGGCTTATAGAAAATGCATGCAAAATGTTCAAAGTATAGAATTTCATATTGCATCAGAAAAAATAAATTAAAAGGACACCTTAAAAAATGGGGAAAATTTTCTGAAAGTTATGGGTTAGACTGATGTAATAAATGAACCTGAGGCCATTAAAGCAAGTTATAATTGGAACATATAAATGAGCAAGAAAATACTAGAAATGTAATCCTATTTTATTGTGTATTGTAATTCATATGAGATACCCCAATAAAATATCATTAAAAACAAAAAAAAAGAATGTCAGATATTTACCAGCTTGAAAAAAATAAAACGTTTGCACAGTTCCATCAGCAACAGACAACATTCCATAATAATTAAAGGATAAGGGAGTACATTTTTTTTCAGTGCAAGAGAATTTGAGACGCAGACTTTTCATCTAACTGTGGCTTCATTTACATCATTTTAGGCGGTGTGCATGTGTATATTGTTTAAATAATACAGTGTACACACACACATACAAAAAAACAAAATTGTTGACATCAAACTTATTTATTTGTATTACAATACTACACAATAGTTAAAGAATATTCACTGATAGATTCTTCAACCTTCCTGTAGTAGTGTGTTAATTGATGTTTATCGTTTTATGGATATCCTTTAATTTTTAAAACGGATTTCTCTTTCATAATTTCTATAATCTCAGAAATATTTATTTTTTTCTTATGAAGATTTTTGCTGGGTCCAGTGTTACTGTGTATGTTCCGGCAGGACAACTCCCTCCTACGTCACTGTGTACAGGTGGCCATGGAGGGTAGCCTGGTAGTGGATTACCTGTAACACAACATAACAATATTTGTTATTGTGTATACTACTGAAATTGTGGTGATATAATTATTGAAAGGGGAAGTTGATATTAGCAAAGAGTTGATTTTCACTTCATCATCTAGCTATCACAATCACACTTGATCACATTTTTCATTATTGAGACAATTTAAATTTAATAACCATGTTATGTACAATGCCAAGTGATGTTTTAAACACATTGACAGTGCTTTACTAAGCACCACATTCAGCTGCCCTGACCTAGTAGACATGGTACTTTCAACAAGTATAAACTATTACAAAATCAATTTTTAAGGTCAAATCACTGTCATGCTGTCAAATAAATTTTTAAATACATATATATGTAAGTTCGCAGGTAGGACCACAGGTCTAAGCAATCATCTTCAAATTAATTTCAGTGTCTTCATTCTCTATGTTTTTTTTTCTTTTGACAGATTTTACTTCAATTATCTATTATCATCTATATTTACAAGTTTTCAGTTGTTACACATTTTTTAGGTATGAACACTTTATTTTTATTCAAAACGAGTTTATGGATTCTGTAAGGGTGTTTGTCAATATCACTGCCACCATTATAAAAAAACCATATAATCACTATTTTTTACAGACTTTATTTCACAACATACACCTGAAAAATTGTAACTTCTATTTCATTAATGTATTTTTTTTTCTATCAAAATATGCCATTACAATTACTTACTAACATCTATATTTACAAGTTTTTATATATATCAGGTATGAACACATATTTTATTCATTTTCATTAAAAATTCAAGTTTGCTAATTATTTATTGTTGGTTATCAACATCACTGCAACCAAGGTAAAATCAAAGAAAGCTTAGAAAGAACTCCCGTGTGCTGAGAGTATTGAAGACACATTAAAAATTAATTAAAAATTACTTGTACATGAGATATTGATGGAAAAGCTGAAAACTAATTATGTAAATTAGGTAACTAATATGAACAGAACAGAACAAAAAAATTATGAATTATTATGCTAATTAGAGAATTAATATGAACAAATTTTAACCCAAAATTAATCAGGCCTGTCTATTGTTCTAGAGCATTTATGTACCAAATTTTATTCAAATGTGATGATCAGTAATTGAGATATCAGTGTTAATTAATTATGTTAATTAGGAGATTAATAAGCATAAATATTTACCAAAAACTAATTGGGTTTCTGCATAGTTCTCTTTAAAAGTTTCATTAAAATCCAATTTGTGGTTCTTTATATATCAGTGGAACATTATGCAAATTAGGTAATTAATATCCAATTAAAACTAATCAGGTCTCTGCATAATCC